AGAGCGTTTTTTCTTGTGAAACAGCTCGACCGCCATTCCCTATCTCAGAATGCAATATCAAACTCCTCACTAAGTGATATGGGTACAAAGTGTCAGTATTCTGTAAAGGTCTCAACTTCAACATGCTTCATTCATTTACAACAATTTTGTTCTCTCAAACACCTAACGAAAACTTCTCAAAACGACTAACAACAATTGGATTCATCATTCTTCATAAAACGTTCTGCTTAAAAGTTCTTAAGCTTTACTTCCCAATTCAATTGCCAACTAATGCCACTAATACATTTAAAATGTATCCTCCATTTTAACAAGATGGTTTACCACATCAACCTCTTTCAGAGTTCAGAACAGACTGTTTCTTTTAGTGCTCTCATAACTTCTAGCTTTGCATCCCCAATCCATTTGCGTGAGCTGTTAGTACATACTGAGGCATATGCTTTAACATAGCAATGCTGCATTTTTCTCTGGTGTTAGATGGGGCTTCTGGAAAGTGGAACCCCTATGACAAGTTTTTCTTTCTTTCATTGAAGAGTCACATATACTCCTGCTAATCAGTAAATCTAGAGTCTAGACATATTAAGTAGTGCATTGTTGGTTCTTGAACTCCATAGTTTAGAAGTAACCAACAAAAAGAAATAAATTTATGCTTCCATCTCGGAGTTACACAATGTTGTGCAACTTTAGGCATACAAGAGAAGAGAAAGGGGATGTGTGAAATATGCTTGATGGAACGCGAAAGCCATGAAAAACAACAATGATGGCATTGTGAAAGGCCAAAGTAGCCATTTAGGTAGAGAAGACTACATCAGAAAATATGACATTCAACTCTTCCATATTAATTCCAATACTGTCACAACGAACACAAAAAAATTATGAACAAGCTCTTTTCAAGTTAAAGTTGTTGAAGTGGAGAAGTTCTTTTTTTTTCGAAGTGGAAACGAGTTTCACAATGATAACTATATCAGAATCAAGTGAAGTAGGACAAAATAAGGGGATGGATAGCCTGCAAGTAGGCTCAAGTGCTATATATAAGTATGGCTTCTTTTGTAGCTGATTTAGTGGAAAATTGTTGGAACTCAACGGTTCGAATGTAGCAAAATATGTTACTGTTTGTGTATGCAGCTTTTTACAGCTGAAAAGAAATAATAAGGTTGTGTTCACATACCTTAAAACAGAACTTAGAACACAACTGACATGAAAGATGTATAAAAGAACCAATGTTTCAGATACACACAACAGCTATAAGAAAATAGACAGCCGATAAAACATACGCAAACAAATGATCAAAGTTGATCGTCGGGAGATGTTTGGCACCTCTTTCACTGGTCGGGAATAGACAAAAGAAGGAACATGCAAGAAGAGCACCGACTAATTCCTGCAAGAAAATGATTTACAATCATGCTCAGTGATACGCTATATATACTTGCTGAAAAGTAAAGAATCGGATTCTAATTCATACATTAGTGCATAAAAGTATACTACTTCATCGAAATAATTATACTTTTAACAAATTTCAAAGAAAACCTTACTATTCGTTCAAATGTATGCCACCATAATCTGCAAGTGGACCTCTGAAATTTGTTAGTAGAAGCTTAGTATTGTGTTCTTTTATAGTTTAGTGTTTGCCCGGAGTACTTTTGGGTCACTTTATTCTGGTTAGAAACTTGAATGTTGGCAAGGTTTATTGTGAAGTTTAGAATCTAGTTTTTAGAGGCCCTAATTTGCTTTTAAAGATAACTTATATTATTTTAAACGCTCAACCATTTGGTATCCAAAATTCAATTATCAGACTAATCCAGAGCCGCACCGCCTAGGGGGACATTAAGGGAAAGCCCTCCCAGGGTTGAACTCGAGACCTATGGTTAAGGGTCCTTGCTAGTAAAGGCAAATTATTTGACACCGGAATGAAATGGGCCATAATACAATGGAGTGGTTGCAGATGACTCAAGTATCCTTCCCCAACTAGCCTGAAATTTAGGTATGGTTACAAATGAGGATGTGAGTCCTTTTAGTGCTCAACAACAATAACCACTACGCCTCAGTCCCGAACAAGGTGGGTTTGGCATTAGTGTAAATTACAACATCCTCCTAAATAAATACTAAATAATCAAAGTATAACCATCATAAAACCTGAGTGAGGAAAACAATTCCAGACTGCTGTGATTCCAACAAGCGAAGACCAGTATTGACTCCTTTAACAATTCCACCATCCGCCTTCTCATAGTGAGACTCTAATAAGGAAGGCAACCGCAAAAGCAAATCGGCTAATTTGGGCACCACTTGTTCGAACCATTTAGCAGCTTCTGCCCTAGGAATTAACTGCATCAAAACATTTTCACCATTCATTCAAAAAAAAACACCATACAATAATAAAATAAACAGAGAATCGAAGGTGAAAAGTAAAAGGTTTACGTCGTCAAAGAAGAGGGCAAAACCGTCAGAAGCGGAGGAGGAAATTGAAAATTCAGGGAGGGAGAGGGAGTTTCGGATGTCGGAGATGGCGAGGGAGAGGACTTGGCCGGAGTTAACGTTGCTGTAGAGAGGGCCTTGAGAGAGGGCTTTAAGTGCTTCAACAACAGGCGGTGGCCAAAAGAGGGAAGATGACCGGAGACACAGTGATAAGAACGGAAGGATTGACGTCAGGTCTTCTCTATTCTCCATCGCTGGACCTTTGTCTCTCTCTACTCTTCACCTACATTTTCCGTTGGTTGAATTCAAACTTCAAAGACTGACACTGTTCCTCTCATTCTTTTTGCCCTTTTCAACAGATGTGAAAATTTGGTTTACATTTTTCTTTTTCTCTTTCTTCGTCATTATAATACATTACAGGGAAAATGTCCAAATATACTCCTCTACTTTGTTATATTGTTCATATGTACTCTCCGTCATATTATAAGACCACATTCACCCTTACCGTTACCCAACTTTATAAAATACCCCTCATTAAACGAAAAGCCATCAATTATTAGGGATTACCCGTTTTTAAAGAGTAAATCTCACTTTATACCCATTAATTCCAAACTATTTACCATTTTATTGTCCAGGTCCAAACTATTTACTATTCCTACCCATGCTGCCCAAACTATTTACCTAGTTATTTCCCAATTATATGAGGGAGTAATAATTGGAATCACGTGCAGTTTGTCCCCCAGCTCAATTGCTTCTCCAACTCCTCCACTCTGCTCTTTTTTCATTTGAAGCAAAAACGACAATCCCAATTTCAGTAATCAAAAATCCAAATCTCATATCATCTATGTAAAAAGCACACATATGTGACCAAAAACTACTAATCTTCTCTTATTGTAGTATTCTGGGGTTCATCATCAATGGCAATTCACATTTGTTTCTCACTAATACCTTCTTCTTTCTCTTCACCCAAACTGGTTTTTGGAGATTTATTGTACAAAAATTCAAATCCACCATCGAAGGACCTTGAAGCTTGAAACTCATAACTTAGTTTGTTTGAGTTTTTAATTATTTTGATCCGATCCTATGTGGGTTTGTTTGGAAAGTTGATTGGAGGTTGTAGCTAAAGTTTTAGTCAATTTGGTAGAGATTTTGTAGTAGATTTTAGAAGTTTGGGTTGAAATATAGTTGAACAAGAGAAGAAGACGCATTTGTATTGTATACTCAAATAGTATACAAATATACCATTTTGGTATACAATTCATTCCAACTATATACCATATTAGTATAGTTATATACTATATTGGTATCATATGCTAGTTGAATCATTTTTTGATTGTATTAGCTGCATTTATTAGTACAATATTTGATTTTCTTTTATTAATAGTAATATAGTACAATATCTTGAAATACTTTATTATATTAATATGTGGTACACTATTTTTTTTATTTTTCTCTTTATACATGTGTGTTATGTAATAGTAGTATAGTCATATAGTTGCCGGGAATTAATCAGTAAAACTGTATACCATGTTGGTATAGTTATATGTCATATTGGTATCATATGGTAGTTTGAACATTTTTTTTGTTGTTTTGGCTGCATTTTTAAGTGAATTCTATTCTGAAATTATTTATATGAACGTGATTTGCAGTGCTGGAATTTTTTTGTGTTGATGGATATAGATTATGTGTATTATGTAATAGTTTTTATAATTATAGGCAATTGTTGGAACGACCCATACAAATATAGACCTTGGTAGTATATGGAATGAGCAAGTTTCTTTGCGAATATTTAGTTTGCAATGCGAGCATGTAATTTTCTCATACTTTTACTGTATCCTTTAATGTTTTGGTACAGTAGTATAGTCACAGATAGTTGTATCAATATTCTAGAGCAATCATATACTCTATTGGTATACATGTATACTATACTGGTATCATATGGTACTAGAAGTCTTTTTTGCTACTTATATTTTTATTGTATTTTCTAATATTTTATTATCATTTCTATTCTAACTAGTATATATGGAGATTTAGTGGCCATAGATTATGTTTTCTTGCTCCATCACTGGTTGGCGTTATTGCTAATGGTAGAGTATGTACTGATATTTGTAGGGAAGGAGATCAAGATTTGCATGGCAATCACGTGGAATTAGAAAAGGAACAAGAAATACAGAAAAAAATAAAAATTAAAAAAATAAAGGAGTCAAATTTAAGTGTGAAATAAGTTATGATAAAAATAACAATAATACGATTTAGGCAAAAATAAATGAATAAAAGAGAAAACATAAAAAAATAGGAAGAAAATGAGAAAAAAGAAAAGGAGGAAAAAAAGAAAAAAAAGGAAAAAGGAAAAGAAGCATAGAAATAAAAAAGAATTGAAGAATAAAGAAAAAATTCCCCACAAAAACTATTATGGGTAGAAAATGTAATTAGTTTATGTATAGAAAAATAAATGAATAGACAAGAATAAATAATTTTATTTTTGTAGGTAACTGTGTCAAAACTCCTTTTTAAAATAAAAAAGTTTCGACCCATCGACCCATAATCCATTTAATCAAATAAACCCATGGGATCCCTTGTAGTTCCTGCAATTCTTAGATCTGCTCCGTGTGTGCTCTACTAGAGAAGGAAATATTCATCGCTCATCAAGTGGGTTCCTCAAATTCAATTGATAGCTCAATAAATTTCCTTTCCGTCTCATCTTCTCTCTGGTTTGCTTCCTAAGTTGAGTGCGTTTAGCACATACCCGAAACAAAAAAAAAACGAAAACAGAACTCAAAAACTCTAAACCAGATAACTCAAATAGAATGAAATCCTACAAGAAACCAAATTAAATAAGCACAATCAGCGAAATTAGAGAAGAAAAATGGCACCTTTGCAACGTTCACAGAGAAATTTTGGTAGCAAAACCATAAGATATGGCACTTCTCGATTTTTCTCCGATGAAAAAGGTGTGTTTTGGGTGTTTTCCATATAAAATTATGAGTCTCTTTTATTTACTAGGCGATGATGGCATGTGCCAGCACAGGCCCAATATGAGTCGAGCATAGAGTGCCTTTGTCAGAAGCATTTTTGATCCTACACAAAAGATAAAGAATATGGCAAATGTGAGTTTTTTACTTCATTTTTACCTTTGTAATAGCTCTAATTCTTTCATTTGGTGAATAAGTCGAGCATGGGCCTGCTTTGACAAAATATTTCATACTAAGTGATACACACTTAATTTACATACATTTTGAACAAAATATACATTGTTTGCGTTCACGGGAGCATCACATTAAGAGATGTTTAAAGTGCCACAGCATTTACAACATGTATAATACAATTATTTACATATGCTGTCTTTGATCTTCTTTCTGGTCCTTTTTCTATTAGCTTTTGACCAAAAATATCTGCAAACAAATAAATATGTTATAAATTGGAAGATTACATATCTTTAGGCAAGAATATGATAACTTGTTATAGAAACGCACAGTTAAAATTCACAAAATGACAAATTTTCAAGTAAGCAACACAAAGAAGTACTTTATGAACTAATTTGACCTACTTTTAATTCAAAATTGATTAGTCTCAATTGTAGATGCAATGATGAAGTAGAGATGAATATATGAACTTTCAATTACTCAAATCTTTGAAAAGAAAGACACAGACTACACAGCATAGCGTAATTTCATAGCCAGTCACACTAAGAAGAACTCAAACTCTCACACTTAGAATTGTTAAACTGCACTTAGCAATACAACCGGATACATCATTACTTCAATCAGCAACCCAAAGATCAAATCCAGCAAAAACCCACTGATCAACAACCAACTACAACAAAATTCACAACCATAAATTAAACCTACTTGCAAAGTAAACCTTGTTCTTAGTCGTTAACAAAAAACCTCCCAAATCCCCCACCAACACATTGACTTTTCTTCTGAATTAATCACTCCAAAACAATAATAAATAAAAGAGGATTTTAGATTCACAAAGTTGTCCAGCAGAAAATAAATTTTAGATTCCACACACACTTGATGAATACTTAATAGGAAGGAGTACAAATTAAAAAACAAAAAAGAGAGAGAATAATGAAAGAGAAACCTTGAGAGGATGAAGACCGGCTTTGAGATCGAGAGCAATGTGTATCCGGCATTTAGTCTCAATCACACTTCCATGCTTTTACATATAAAAACCCTTAAACTTTTCCCTTTTTTTCTTAAGTATAAAGAGAGTCCAATAAAGGAACAGAAATACCAATCGATTAAATGTCACGACCCAATTCCCGAACCTGGTCGTGATGGCGCCTCTCATGAAGACAAGGCCAGCCATTCAACTCAATTCATCCTTTTAAGACAATTAATTAACACAATTATAGTATAAACATGGTTTAATAATATTCAATAGCAGAAAGTATAAATAAAATACGGAAATCCAACCCAACTCAGCCCTAACCGGGGTGTCACAAGTCATGAGCTACTACAGAGATTACTAAAATTCTACAAAGTATGGAATTAGGAACGACATCTGAAGATATCATAAATACAGAAGATAAGGGAGAAAACGGGTCTGCGAACGCCATGCAGCTACCTCGATAACTCCAATGAAAACTGAACAGCAGAAAACTCGCTCTATGCCTCAGGAATACCTGTAACTGCACACATAGTGCAGGGAGTAATGTGAATACTCCGACCCAGTGAGTAATAAATATAAATAATAACTGAAGGTAAGAAAACACGTTAAGGCACACAACACTCTATACAGAAACAGTGAAATCATTTAAAATAACAATTCAGTGAAACATCATGTGAAATTTCTTTTAAACCAGTAAAAAAAAGATAATTTGGCAGTAAAACAACGAGTAGAAATCTGCCCCTCGGGCTTAATATCAAAATAATAAGTAGAAATCTGCCCCTCGGGTTCAGTATCAAAATAATAAGTAGTATCAGCCCCTCAGGCTCAGTATCTCAGAACAGTATCAGCCCCTCAGGCTCAGAACAGTATGAAGCAACNACAAATTACAAACGATTTGAAGATTTAGAAACTAGACTCGAAGATCTTTAATTTGATAGGTTGTACACCATATAACTCTTTATATATCCCGAGATATGAGCTTCTAAAGTCGGCTCCATGAAATCAGAAAATTCTGGAGAAACTGCTCCACCAGTCATCTTCAATCGATCATAATTTTCTCTACAGATGTCCAAATTACGATTTCCTTAGCTTTCTGGAAACTAGACACGGCTACAACTTTCGTTTTTGAATCATCTCAAAATTCCTTGTAGATCAAAAGATATAGGCCTCTGAAGAACGCTCCACGACTGCACATTTGCTGTCCAAAGACAGCTTAGCAGCAGAAATTGCAGCAGCTTTTTCTTTTCTTTTTGGGTCCGAATTCCATTTTGTTAACCTTCCGAAATCCACCCGAGGCCCTCGGGACCTTAACCAATTATATCGACATGTCCCACAATATCATTTAAACTTGTCCCAACCTTTGGAACACCCAAAATAACATCAAATCATCATCGGATTCAAGCCTATGAATCTCAAGAACTTCCAAATTCCATTTTTGATCAAAAACCCAACCAAACCATGTCCAAATGACCTCAAATTTTGCAGACAAGTCCAAAATGATATAACGAAGCTACAGCAACTCTCGAAATTCCATTCCGACCCTCGGATCAAAATCTCACCTATCAACCGGAATTCCAAAATACTAACTTTGCCAATTCAAGCTTAATTCTACACCGGTCATCACAAAAATATTCCGGACACACTCCCAAGTACCAAATCACCTAACGAAGCTATCCGAACCATAAAATTCGCATTTCGAACCCTCTAACACATAAGTCAATATCCGGTTGACTTTTCCAACTTAAGCTTCCTTAAAAGAGACTAAGTGTCTCAAACCTTACCAAAACTAGTCCGAATGACTTCAAATTTTGCACACAAGTCACATTCGACATTACGGACTTGCACCAACTTTCGGAATCGCATTCCGACCCCGATATCAAAATTTCCACTTCCGGTCGAATTTTCTCAAAAACCTTCAAATTTCTATATTTAGCCAAATGACTTCAAAATGACCTCCGGACATCCGAATTCACTTCCGATCGCGCTCCCAACTCCAGAATCACCATACGGAGCTATTCCCAGACTCGGAATCCCAAACGGACATCTATAACTCTGAAATGCCTTCCAACCCAAATTTATGAAATTTTTCTAAAATACTAACTTCCACAATATACGCCGAAATGCTCACGGGTTTTCCAAAACCAAATCCGGACATACGCCCAAGTCCGAAATCATCATACGAACATGCTGGAACTTTCAGATCCCAATTCCGAGGTCGTTTACTCAAAATTCCAATCTTAGCCATTTTCTTCAACTTAAGGTTGCCGCAATGAAAAGTTTCTTTCCAATTTGACTCCGAATTTCCCGAAATTCAACTCTGACCATACGTACAAGTCAATATACCTGAAATGAAGCTGTTCATGACTTCCAACTGCTGAACGACGCGCTATAGCTCAAAACGACCGGTCGGGTCGTTACATTAAAGTTACAAACTATACAAATAATAACAATCACATTCTCACCAAAAATGGATTATATTATTAATTTCTCTCTTTTGACATTAGAAGGTTATCGCAAAATATCTCGATACATGGAAACAATATTTACTAAATTAGCAAAACTTGTAGTGAAATTCCTAAGAAATGAAGAACACAGAAAAATGAATCAAAATGTGACCGCTGAGACACAAATTGGAGCAACATACTACAACAAAATTCCCCAGCTATAATGGAGAATACCTGAATGGAATGTTCCTATAATGAGACGAGTGACAATACCTGAATGGAATGTTCACTGCGAAAATCTAAAATTGCCTCCACTACAATTTTTGAGAAATTTTTCACCCTGAAAATCAAAGAGAAGTGTAAAAGCAACATTAATGTAGAAAGTGGTAGCCACAGAGAAGAAGTCTAATTCAACAAATATTATCTAAAACTTTCGTTGTCTAAGCATTTCACTCGACTTCTTTGGAAATTATTTGTCCATGCATGTGAAGAACTCGTTCCATGTGTCTAAGATAAATATGTTTAGAATCATTGGATCATGCTTTTAAAGTTTAAGTAGGACTTTAATCAAACATAGTAATATGAAAAGGAAAACAGATCTCTAAACTTGAAAATAAACAGTAGGCTAGTACTGTAGGAAACAGGAACACCCAGAGATGCCTATTATTTTAATAAAAATGCTCTTAAGAATGGATTAGAGAAGATGTTGGCAGCGGCTAGACAAAATAAACAGGAGAGGGAAAGAAACAAACTGCAATTACCAGAAAACGAAAGTAAAACCAACATTTTTCAAGCAAAAATGTCTAATATTCTAACTACCTCAATTTCCATAGTAAAATGATCACTCTGCAAACAAAAAGAAGCAATAAACACCAATGTTGACGCTTCCACATGGGAAAAACTTTCTCTGGTGAAATTAACTAAAGAGTAAGCATGAAGCAGGATGAGAAAAGAAAACATGAAGAATCTAAGAGAAAGAAGTTGCAGTTTTGTGAAGACAATTATCGTCACTCAATTTTCAGAGTTGAGCCAACTGATTCAATTACCATTTATTTTTAATGCATTTGTAATCTGATTCTTCATGAATTTAATTTTTTCGCAAGCATTTCTAATTCTTGCATATAAATTAAATCTTGTCGTTTATATCAGTTTCTATTTGTTCTTAATTTGGGAAAATAAAAAATTATTTTTCAGTCCAATAGCAAAAATACCACTTTTTTGGCGTTGAAGAACTCCAAGATTTGCCCCAAAAAGTCAGAGTAGATCGGAAGAGAAAACTCTATTTTTGGTTGAAATTTAAATTCTCGGAAAGAAGCCTAAAGCAAATGAATTTACTTACATGATCTATTTCTTTATCATCATTTACTACCAATCCCACTCCCACACTTATCTTTACATAAAAAAACCTTAAACCTTTTATCTTCCTTTTGTCGGCAATTGATACCAGCTATGAAATTGAGAAGTATAAAGAGAGTCCAATAAAGACACTGACCGAAAAGAATATCAAGAAAAAAGGAGAAGACCATATGGGGCAAACAAATAAAAGAACATAGCTGAAATTACAACATCGGTTGAGAAGATGAAAATGAACGAAGAAGATGAAGAGAACTGAAATGCTTGAAGGAGCATTAGTTGAAAGTATGCACAGAGAATGACGAAAAACTAATATTTCTCTGGCCGCCGGAATAAAGAACACGTAGTTTAGAAGCAAATGAAACGGGCACGTAATTTCTCCAACACAAAAGTGATATTGATAACTGATGGTAATAGTCTATAATACCCTCAGATTCTGATTTAATCCCTTAGAAGCACACATGTCGAAATCAAGCACATATATAGTGGAGTGTAGCATGTGTTTAGCACAGGCCCAATAGTTATTTAGTGTTAATTTTTTTTTTTTGCAGTTGTTTTCAACAATACTTTAAATTGTCCAAGGAAAACATCATGTTCCTTTACCCTGTTTGGTATTTATGAGATTTTCTTTTTGATGATACTTTGTTCATTCCATGAAGGATTGTTAATATATTATCAATTTTCGAAGCATTTTAACAGCTCTGACAACTGATATATTAAACTTCACGTGAACTGTGATGGTTAAACATTATAATTACAAATCAACTTTGGCGCTTCACAGGAACATCAACTCCATGGTGGAGTACTTAGTGTTGGAATTGGTAATCAAGGATAAAATTCAATCATTTACATAAGTGCAAGAGAAAATCATATACCAATCAACCAATATATTTTAATGCAACTAATGTTCATACTCTTACTTTTTCTTGTTCAACATCCATGTAAATGAAGGGTGATAATTACAAATACTGAATGAACAGTGACCATGATCGATGAAATTTTGACTAACATTAATATTTGCATAAGAATCTTAGACACAACAGAAGAGGCAAAATAAGAATGATAGAAATAAAGAAACGATAGAACTATTATATATTCTACATTATTATAGTATAATAATTTTATATCTCAATATTTTAGTAATATTTGCAGTAGTTTACTATTACAGATAATATAACAAAATGAATATTTAGTTAAAGTTTAAAAAAAAGCAATTGGAGTTCAGATTTGTAATCAAGTAAGCTAACCTTGTGTTGTCGTGATATTTGTTGAGTAGAGGAGCATTCAGAAAGCAGGCGTAAAAGTGAACATAACTGCATTCAAAAAGAGTAACCAAAAAAAGGACAGTAGAAGCTTCATATTATTTTGCAAAAGGAAGTTAATTAAAGACAAATTATCTTTTGAGAAGAGAAGAGCATCTTGTACTCCATCATATTTCTAGCCAAAAGTTGGTATTTTCTCTGAATTCTCTTGGCATAACTCGTAAGAAGAATAATATCCAATATCTACATTCTCTTCGTAACTAAGAAGAAAGTGAAAGGAAGAAGCAATACAGCTTTTTCATTATCATTTAAGAAGTCATAGAGATTCTATTGTTTGATTTCAACTCGATTTTTTCCTAGATAAATGACTATTGAGTCATTACAATGCATTGTCATAGACGGTTAAAAAAGAATGTGATAAAAGTAGGTTAAAAATAACTGTCAAGAGAAAGGCCACTGAAATAAAGAAGCTTAACAAAGGAATAACACAAGAGCAACATATGAATTGCCTATTTTTAGCAAGTATTCTTATCAGAGATAGTGAGCAAGTTAGTAATTAAAGTTTCTTTAACAAATCATCTATTTGATGCGAACCAAAGCTTCTTTACTAAGAATCTAATAAGTGCTGTAAGTGATTGCACGAAAAACCCTCTAAAGAGGATTAATTTCAAAACAGTCATTTTCGAGCGTAAATGTTTTTTTTTCTTTATTGTCCCAAATTACTATGGAAAAATTGCAATGGCTTTATATCGGTTAGTATGAAAGATTTTGAAAAAATCTAGATTTGTAATCAAGTATACTAACCTCATGTCAGCACGACATATTCCTAGTAGAGGAACATGCAGAAAGCAGTCGCAAAAGTGAGCTTAACCGCATTCAAAAACAACACCCAGATGTGGATTCATTTGCATCCCAAAATAGTAGAAAAAGATGTTTCACTGGCAAACGTGTTAACAAATCATAGTCGTTTAAGTTGCTTGTTTTTTGTACAAAGTTAAATTTCATATTAAATTTAAAAGGAACATAAATTTCAAATACCTTTCAACAGTTTTTTGGAGGGAAAATTTTCATTTCCGCCTTACATTTGTTGTAGGAATCATTGCCTTTGGTTGTTATGTGTGGGTTCTCTTGTTTCTCTGGGGCAACGTGTTCAATTTTTCGTTTACTTCCTTCCGCAACATCCTTGATGGTGGCTGGCATTTGTGAGATACCCGAATTACTTTTGTCCATGAAAGACAAAATAATTAACTTTTCTGCCTCATTGTTTCTTGTAAACAACTTTTTTATTTGAATCTTGAAGATCTTGCCAATCAATAGCTTTTGCGCGTTCACAAGAGGCAACAATTATTTCTGTAAAGATAAAATTAGTTATTTATGTGTTAGAGGGGGCTCAACTTATAGAAAATAGTTGTTTCTGGTTTTTGAAAATTAACAATGTACCTTGACATTGCAGATATCATAAATCTCTTCCGAAGTGAGAAGCAATATTTTTTCTACAGGCTCGTCGGAAATAGTTGCTATTGTAGAACCACTCTGATCTGTAAGCGTCAATTCAAATTGGCACCTAGTTGTAAGATAAAATGATTGGTTAATTAAAAGATGGTGAATATATAATGTTAAATATAAACAGTTATGTGGAAGTTGCATGTATACCTGGGAACCAACTGAGTAGCTTGACGGCAATTAGTGCAATAGAACATTCTCCGTGAGATAGCTCGTGTGAAGTGTTGTTTGCAGTTTGAACAAGCTAGAATAGACAATCGTTGATTCTTATTTTGTAGTGTGACTTCAGCCTGTATGTAGAATATTTGGCCCTGAAAAATATAAAGATGCCGTATATTAATTTTTTGTTATTAGAAAATAAAGGTAAAAATTTGTAACATTGCATATGTGAATATTTAGTGTACTTACTGGATCTTGCTGTCGAATTTCTACAATTGGTACTATCTCTTCTTCGAAAGGAACATATAAAAGAGAGCCTGTTGGACCTGTGCTCTTCATTGTGTACGCAATAAGCATTTGTTGATTTTGTTGGGCCCTTTAAGTATGTTAACATTTCAAAATTACTTCTTCTATACGTTCAAGCACATATATGACCAATAATGTATTGATTGCAATACCATGTTCTCAACGCATTTGCTTGTGGGTATGGAGGATTGATTTCAATTGTTGTACTGAATCTGTTAGTCAATCCTGCATGCATTTGAACATTCAGTTCTAATTTGGTCGTCTGGTAAATGGAAAACTAAAATATAATTGCGTATATACTTTACTTGTATTGAATTTCTAGTCCATCTTGCAGACATTTGAGGTGTTTTACCTGACGACGACTTTGGTCTTCCAATTTTTCTAGCAAGGATGATTGGGTATTCTTCTTTAAGCAGTTAGAGTAGTTTGTTCCCTTCATGATCAATAAAATCTTCCCAGAGTGTGAATTTCGTTGGTTTTTTCCTGTATAAAATAGAACGAAATTGTTAAAGCACTATATTAAATCAATACGGGAATGTCAATGCTTCGGCAACACGAATGAGCATCAATTGGAAGATTTAAGTGTAAGACATATATAAAAAATGAACACATATTGATATCTTAATGTGTAGGAATTTCAATAATGTAATTACTTTCGAAGAAAATAGGTATTCTTTAAGCTCTTCGCTATTGATTCCTAACAAAAGCTTTTAAAGATAATACTTTGAAATATGAGATGTTCTCGAAGTGCTGATAAGTCTCAGATCTCAAATAGATGGTAGAATTGCTTCATTACACTCTAAAGATATTGATGTTTGCGAAAAGATAAATGAATATAATTTACAACTTGCTGTAGCAATGATCTGATTAGTTCCAACATAAAGATGTTTTGAATAAGTTCTGATATTGCGATATAATTGTATTATACAATGGAAAAATATCTAATAGAGATGCTCTTAACATTGAGATGCTGCTCTTTTCTATTAGATCTTTGTGCATTGGTAATATCTGCACATTTGAAATACAATAATTTGTAAGCACATTTCTGATGTACAAAATTTTAGCATTTAGCAAGCTACGACCGGGTGAATGCTTTGAATAAATTTTTTATAGTCTACTTATTAGTTTTTGTAAGTGCAGAATAAAAAGAATATAGTGCAGAAATAAAACATATGTGCAGAAACTGAAATTTAAGTGCAGAATGAAGAAAAACATAGTACAGAAAATGAAAAATATGTGCAGAAACTGAAATTTAAGAGCAGAATCAAGAAAAATATAATGCAGAAAATGAAAAATATGCGCAAAATCTGAAATTTAAATGCAGAATCAAGAAAAAGTTAGTGCAGGATCTGTGCAGAATCTGAAACATAAGTGCACTATCTAGATTATTATAGTGCAGGAATTGAAATATATGCAGAAACTGAAAAATATGCACAGAATACAGAAAAAGTGCAGATTGCAATAAATTATGGTGCAGAAGCTAAAAATTAAGTGATAAATGGAGAAAACTAATTACAGAAATAGCAAATGCCAAAAGTTGAAACATGTAAATAATTAAAGTCTGAAAACTTCATAATTGAGTCATACGAAATGAACATAATTCGCTTAGTAGTCATCACATTACAAAATGAACTTGCATCATTCCAACAAAATAAACACAGTGGAAATGACTGTCACATCTATGATGCTATGCAACTTGGTTGTGATATTAATTTGAGAAAGGGAAATATGAACAAAACTAATGGAAAAACAAGTTCAAGTTATGTGTTCACTACATATTGGAATGTTGTGAGTAAAAGGAATGCTTTGAAAATTAGTACTTTAGTGCAATTGTGAGCATTTAGAAAGGGATCGGAATTATGTTTTGCACCGGTCAAACTCCAAGACTTAATTTAAATAGGTAATAGGAGTAACTTTTATCAGTATATAATATTAGCATATTTAGATCATTCTTTTACTTTGAAAAGTTGAGCAGTATTAGATTTTTCTCTTCGCTAATAACAACAAGAGATCTAATATTTCAACCCACAACCAACTCAGCAAGTCTTCGCATCACTTACCAAACGGATGAAGTTTTGTTTCTTCATTTCTTCTCTAGGAAGAGCAATTGATTTTAAGATGCAAGAGTTGGAATAGGTGACTGTTGCTGATTACAAGCTTTGTTTTCTCTTTTGTTTCGAATGAAGTCGGACAATTTTTCTTTCTACCGGTTTTTGTGCTGCTTTTCACAGTTTTTCAACTTTAAAGTTCTAACCTTTTTGTAATTCCCCCATAAAAAACTAACACTCTTATCTTTTGTTTTAATTCCAGACAACAAAAGACTTTTCAAATTCAAGTCAGAATCATAGAAATCAGAGGTACTTGAGATTAGGACAAGATGAAGAGACTGAAAACAGTAAATTATTGGAGGAATAAGACCCCTTTGCCTTATGTCTATTTTCATCAACATCAAATCAAGTAAGTGAGCTTATCTTATGTTAGGAATTAATTAAATAATCGTCATTCATTGTCCAAATACTAAAGATTACAGATGGCAAAAACAGTAATACCCCTCATATTTGGATGTTAGTAATAAAGTTATATTCCATAAACAAGATGAGCAATAACCATCGGAGTTAAACCAAAAAAGGATCCCAACCCCAAACTGAGAAAGCGAAGAAAGAAACGGGGTCAATTTTAATCCAAAGTACTGAATTTCAAATATAATTTGATTTTAAATCCAATAACTAAATATGATGATTATTTTTTCCTTTCATCGAGAGGTTATAGAGGTCATATTTTGTTCCTTCCAAATAGATGAAGAACAACTACAGATAAATTAGAAAGTCATTGTTAAAGAATAAGATAAGCAACTACAAACTTGGTTATGCTATATTTCTACATTGCAAGGCATTATGTATTTCTCTGAATAATTTTTAACAACAATCTAATTTTTTGGCCCATATAATAGTAAATAACGAAACATATTTGTAATTTAGCTTTTAGTAGCTTTTCCTTAATTTGTTATCTTGCCATAACTAAAATTTTCTTTTCTGGATCATTGCTTCTAACTTTATTGACATACAACTAAAAAATTTTAAAATCTTAAGAGGCAATGATATGTTGTTATACTCTTAGATTGGTGTGTAGTTTTAGCAACCACACATCGTCACTTCATGCAGCTATCCTGAAAATTATGCTTATAAATAAAGAATAAATTGAAAGTTTGAAGTCAATCTTGAAAAAAACATAAATTAGTTGCAAAAAAATTTAGAGAAATTAAAACTTACAAAATCAAAAGCACAATATGATAGTAGCTCTAGTTTTTCTTATATTCTTATAGCAAGAGAAACAATAAGAGACAAAATTTGCATTGTTAGGAATATATTTAAAGACATGATTAAATATTATAGTGATCTATAAATGTTGGTAGTAAAAACCAAAATCATAATAATTCCGGTAATGCTTACTGGACCTAAGTATGCTTTGAAAGATCATAATTACAGCAAAACCAAAGGTGAATTGAAGCATGGAAAGTAGCCTTTTAAAGGGTACAACCTCAACTGGAATCTCAATTTCATTTATTGTGTGCTATTGGTAGACAACATATGAAAAGTGAGATAACATATCACACTTGAATCATCAATTTCTATTTGGACCCAATAAAACAAGTTCATATATACTTACTGATCATCCATGATGATAAAGTCTTGAATTCTCCTCCCATTTGGAGCATATGTTGAGGGACTGGCGTTGAGCACAATGGCAAGCATATCTTCCGTTTAAAAAAACAACCAATAAATTAATAGATAATAAAAATTATTATAAACAACAATAATAATAATAACAATAATAATACTAATAAATGTGAATTTTAGGTGAATAGAAAACATAGATAGTTAAATATTCAATTACCGAATTCAGATCCCTCAGGTTGATATTCAAAGTTGCCAAATGGTGTAAGATTTAGGCGCGTTGGCGGCGACAATGGACTTTCTGGAGGATTAACAGTTTCTATTGGCTCAACAATGGTATATATATCAATTGTCCATGTAAATTTGTTAAGCGGATTTGACATATAGTTTGATTCTTTGACTTGTGCAACTGACACCAAGTATGTATGGAAATGGCAAAACAGATCTTCAAGATGCATTATCTCCGCATTGAACATAATGCATTCGACTTGATTTTCCTGTAACAAAATAAGATACAATTATTTTAATATTATTTTAATTACTATTGGCAAACTTATGAATCCTTTAAAGATTACTATGATCAAAGGGCGGGGAATTTATATTTTGCTCTTATCATTTTTTCTTTCTTTTCCATTACCAATTCTCATTAAATATTCACAAAAAGCTGGGTCTGCGTTCGCATGCATATTTTCAGACAACTGTAATTTTTCAAGTTGATGCCAAATTTCAGAACATAGTAAGCTTTTACGAACAAAATCTTCCCTTTGTCCACCACGAACAACGGGAGAGTTTGTCTAAAATCGCCACTGAATACAACAACCTTTCCGCCAAACAACATAGTTGTTTCCATTAAATCTTTAAGGAGCAAATCTAGTGCTTCAATCATTTCTTTTTTCGCCATTGAAATTTCGTCCCATACTATTAGTTTTGCATCTCGAATCAATGATGCCAATGAACTTTGTTTGCTAATAATGCAACTAAAATTTCCATCAACATCAATAGGTATTTTAAATCGGAAATGAGCAGTTCGGCCTCCAGGAAGAAGTGAAGCAGCAACACCTGAACTCGCAGTCGCTAATGCTATAAATCCTCTATGTCTCACTGTAGCTAATAAGGCACGATATAAAAAGCTTTTTCCAGTTCCGCCCGGACCATCAATGAAGAATGCTCCGTATTTATTTGAGAAAATTGTATCAAGGATTATATTGTAAGCTCTTTTCTGTTCAATATTTAGTTTATATGGTAATAGTAGATCTTCTTTATTAATGATAATATTCCTTTCAAAATGTACATCTTTAGCTTCTTTGGCTATTGCAGATGATTGAATTTTGCCTTGAGTTAGTTCAAATTCGTTGATATCACGACCCATTGAATGAAGAATATCATTAATATGATTTAGCACTTTGTAACGAATTTCTCTTGTAGGCATGTTCGGATATTTTTTGAAATCTTCAGACATTGGGCATTCAAATTTTTCCCACAACTCTCTTGGATTAACAGGATTGCAATAAACTAATAGTACAACAAATAAGTGCCTTAAACTGTGTGGCATTTGGTAACTTACTGCTTCTGACATGCATTCTATTAAATTATTAACGCAAAGTAACAATCCTCTTTTTTCTGCGGCTTCTCTAAATGTGTTACAAGTTACTCCATTTACAGTTCGCAAATTTTTATACGATTTTGGTCCTCTCACGTTCATTAAGAGCAATCTAAGAAAGTATCTTTCTCCTTCGGTTGGATGACATGTTAAAACTCTACCAATAGCAAATCCTTGTTGGCGACGTGACCACATTTTGTATGTTGTGGACCAAACAAAATGTTCTGGAAATTCTCGATATAATAAATTCAAATTCATAGCATCTTCGTTTTCGCTGTTCATTGTAAAAAATTCAGTTAACATTCTTTTTTTTAATCACAGGATTATTTACGATTCTATTAATATTATCTGTATTTTTGAAGGAAACAATTTGTTGTCCATCAAGATGCAGTTGAAGATGATATACATTTGGAATCATTTCAATGATAGGAAAAGCGAATATGCGCCACGCAGCCTCAGGTGGTGTCACCCATCTAGCAGATTGATATTCCTTTATTTCATCTACTTCTATGTTTGCATCGTTAGGATGTATGTGAAATGTAATTTTATCATGTCCTTTGCAAATATATTTGTAAATATACTTAACAACTTTAATATCAGAGCAAATCTCCACATTTATATGGCAATTAAATTTACTAAGTAAGAATAGATTGTAGGAAACAACCCATGAATTATCAAAAGATTGTCCTCTAATCTCCACACATTTTTCCGTGTTTCGTCTTCTATAAATAGGATATGAATTTTTTCCTTTAGTTGTCTGCTTAGAAAACTCTTTTGGAAACTTGAATTTACATTGACCGTTTTTTTCTTCATACATGAACTTGCTGGATTTAATTGACCGCAAGGACCATGTAGCATGTGTTGTGTAACGAGCTTAAACAAAGCAGAGTTTCTTTTAGGATCTGGTAATTCAGCACAAACAAATTGATCATACGCTTCTGGAGTCAATAGTTTGTATTTTTCATCGAGTATAATAAGAAAATGAGCATGCAGAAGTCCCCGTTTTTTGGAATTCTACTGTGTACATAAATGCAGTAACTTTACCAAATATTTGTCTTTTTAGTATATCTTTTTTAAGTTCTTCTAGTTTTGGTTGAAATATTCGGCTAACTAAATCGGGTCTATTTTGGGCCTCATCTGTCGACAATAAGTTTTCTTGAATTTCAGGCCAAGAAGGGTTGCATGTCATAGTTAGAAATATATCGGGTATTCCAAAATGTTGTACTAATGCAATAGCATCCATATATCGACAACGCATATCTCTTGGTCCTCCTGTAAAGCTAAGTGGAAGTATTCTATTTTTACCTACATGTGAGCCTTCTCTCTCACCGCGACGTATAAGATCTAAAAGTCCAGCTAATACGTCCATTCTGAATAAGTCTTGATTGAAAAAAGCGAAATCTAATCTTTGAGTTTCAACTTTTATCCATTCGGCTACAACATATTGTTGTAATAATCTTCCTAAATGTAAGATTATATTTTCATCATCTCTAATTTGGAGTTGATAACAATAGTATTCACGGCAAGAAACGATTTCTCTTTTTCGTTTGCCTTTTTGCATCACTTCAGCTTCCATGTCAAGCAATCCATCAATTGAAGTCATATTGGTTACACTTGGCAATTTTTCGTATTCACAATACAGATGTGTTCTAGAAGGGGTTGCTGAAGGCTTAGTTTTCGAATACCACAATGCCAACCATTTTGACCGTAGGGGAACAGTAATGGATATTGCAATGGGTCATAGCATCCGTAATAATAGTTTACCAGCTGGCTTCTATCACTTTTTGTATATATTCGGATATGTGAAGTAGGGATACAATTATTGGTATCTTGTTCTACCCATATTCCTGCCACTTCCGACGAAGTTGGTAGATTGTATATTCGTTGATCTAGACCAGCATCACACTTAAGCGCAATGTAGAAATCTGATAATTGGGGGATATTTATTAAGAATTTCAAAAACGTAGAGTAAGGATTGATTTTTAATATTTCCATTAAATTTTTCACAGTACACTCGTTCAATTTATTGGAACATGCCATTCGATTGCTCATTTCATTTTCATTATCATAGAAATATAATTGTAGATTTTTTTCTTTTTCATTACTTGGTATCAAGTCATTTATGAAATGGTACATTTATCCCTGAACTCGAAACGTGTAAATACCTTTATTCCTCTTTGCCAGCTCTTTGTCATAGCTTACTCATAGGGACGTGAACGCAAATATATTATTGTATGTTCTTATGTAGGTTCGAAAATGCTTTGATTCTTCAGTATTTCCTAGATATAGATTTCTTAACTCTTGTGTTACTTGATGTGAAATTAGCTTAACAGTGCCTTTACGACAACAAAATGCCGGTGGTTCGTCTTCAAATTTTTTGGCTCCGCAAAATTTGCATTTTGGAATAGTCTTTAACATAACATAATCAGTTGATGTTTGGTTTGTTGTTGTCTCTTCAATATATTGTTCATGATTTGTATTAGATGTAGATCCTAGGATACAACAATAATAGGTGTAAGCATATAATTTAATAGTTATAAATGCATACATGTATTTATAATTGCATATACCATCGAGAAATGACAATCTACCTTTCTAACCTATTTCATATATTGAATGTCCTACAAAAGGAAGATGCTGCTCGCTTGGAATATTAGCACCTATAGAAAATGATGCATTAGAGAAGCTCTTAATTGGCGAGCAAGCAGGACGTTGCCGACCGCTTGTTTCAGCTTTATTTGCTCGTGCTCGCGCTAGGAGAGCCTCCTTTTTATCGTCTTGCATCATTCTGTATAATTCGCGTCGCCTAGGCTTCTTGTCGGCATATATTTTTTCTGAGTTGTCAATTTTATGGTTTTTACTCGACATTTCACTCGTCTACTTCCTGAATGGGAAATGTCACGTACATATTTACATTACCGAATGTAAAAAAAATCCACATATGGAATAGCTCAAAAGCTGCACATAGTATGTATGCTTACATTTTTTAGAAAAACTCATGTAAAAACGTACAATATCTAAAAATAGATAAGTAGAGATTAGAAAATTTACCTTCTGGTTCAAGTGCTACTGCATAACAAAAGTAGAACGCAACCACAATAGATCACAAGAACTGCAATGACAAAGAGAATAAATTGTTATGCACAACAGAGCCGAAAAAGCAAAGAACAAATAGAGGTCTCATAAAGAACATCAAATACAACAGATGGTAACAAAATAAATAGACTTGAAGTTGTAATTAATAAAGAATACTCATTTTATAAAACATAAGACCACCGATCCATAGACCTATCAAAATAACTTTGAAACCAAAAACAATTCATTCAATATATATGTGATGAATGACATACCTAGAAGCACACAGAATTACAATCAAAAGGAAAAGCTTTTCCATTCTAATAATGAGGTAGAAATAGATAACAAAAACTAATATTAGCTCTGAAGTTTCCTAAGAAATAATTCAAACAAAAACAAAATCATTCATGCTTAAGTAATCCCACTCTAATTATAATCTTAAACTCCTCAAACTCCTTAAATTTTCACCAGCACATAGAAAGAGATAGAAAACAATAAAATTCATATTAAGTAATAAGAAAAGCACCTGCACAAGTTGAAGAGATGAGGAAGACGAAGATATCTGATGATGTACACAAATCCAATAAAACCCACCTCTGTAATAACGCAAACGCTACACGTAGTAGTTGGGTAGATATGGAAAAGACACGTATACAGATAAGCTCAAAAGTCTAATATGCCCTCAAACAAAACTTAAATTACCCATAAGCAAGCATGTCGAAACTGCAAATTTCCATAACCGATGCCGAAACCTATCAAACCACGTCCGAATGACCTCAAATTTTGCACACAAGTCATATTCAAAATTACGGACCTACTCCAACTTTCGGAGTCAGATTCCGAAAGCTATTATGATAAATATAAGAATATCACTTAAAACGTAGTATTTCATTTTATTTTATACTGTTATGTGAAAGATGAGAACTGTGAACCATTCATTTGTCTGACAAAGTACTCTCCATATGCTATGAAGTTTCCTTCCCGCAGTCGTTACACATCAACTTCGTTTGATAAACTATATATAATTTAGATATCCTAATCAACAAACCTTCGTAATCCACCCATGAACCAGCCCAGCCAACCCCGACAAATGTAAGTTAATTCAAAAATCATTTACTCTTAAGTTCATTATCCTACTCTTGTTGAAGGAAGTGAAAACTACCAACAGTCTGGTATATCACCTACAGTCACACATGTTCACATTAAAAAAAATCAAAAGCATGGCAATAACAATACATATATAAAGCAGAATATATACTACTGAAGAAGTCAAACAACATATGCATAACAAAATCGTGAGAACATATCCAATTTTCCCATACGGAACTATGGTAAAACCTATCAAAGAAATCGACACAAGAGCAAACTTGAAAAAGCAGAACAAACTATAAAGAGATGAAAATAGAATTCTCATTTAACCAAACACAAAAAGTTCTTAGAATTTACCTAGGAAGTGAGAAGTTCATCTTTTACCTCTCAAGTATTAGCCACCAATTATCAATTAGTGAAAATCTTTTATATCTTCAAAAAAAAGACTTTGCCTAGTCGAATGTTATGGAAGAGGGTAGAAAAGAAGTATGAACAGAACCCATGAAACTTCAGTAAGCACTGCAAAAAAAATTTCCTTTTAATTAGGCATGATACCCATACCAGTATCATGCTTGATCTCAACAAAAAAATTCGCATGTCGGATGAAACTAATTGGAAAAGCAGAAAAAGGAGAAACAAATACAAACTGCAAAATTGAAGTTGAAGATTAAGGGATTGTTTAATTTATCATATGCACAGCAAAAATCATGGGGAAAATTGATTAAAATTGTACCTGCAGGTAAGAAGAATTTGAGGAAGATAAAGAGAATTGGAGAAGCAATCCAGAATTTGAAAGTTTTTTTATGCACAAAGAAATCGGGTGAGAACCTAATATGGTCCGTAGAACACACGTGTACTCATTTAAAACTTAGGCTCAATTAAAACTTGCACGTAGCATTTTCTATAGAAAAATAAGCCACGTGTATGATATTGTAAGAATTAGTACGAAATGACTAATATACCCTTGAGCTTTTTAAAAATGACTAATCCCTCTAAGATGACAGAGATAGGATAGAATTAAAGAACCAGAAAGTACATAAATCAGTTGTTAAAATACTGTCACAGATCAAAATTCAATAGAAAAAACATACACTAAGTGTGAAAATCAATCCTACCCAATCCTGATTTCTCCTTATTTTCACAGTTATTTTGGGTTTAGCGATATGATAAGGAAGCTTAAAAGTTCAGGAAGAAATATTAGTGTCAATAATTCATACTTCTCATTCCACAAACACAAAAGCCAAAAATAAAAAAAGGCCTGACCATCTCTCCCAGATTAAGCTGCCTCAAATCCAAAAGTTACTCCAGATTAAGGAAAAAGAAGAAGATAGTGCAGAATTAGTTGAAGAAGAAACATACTTGCGGCAAGAACACAAACAAATCTGGAGAGCAAGAACACAAATAGGAAGAAGACGGTGGAAACAAAAGGTGTACTCTCTGAATTGTAAGTACCAAAAGAAATATAGGAAAAAGTTAAGTTGTCAAACAGCTGCAATGATATCAAATACACGTAAAGGTATTGGAAAAAGTGAAGTTGTCAGACAGCTATAATGAAATCAAATAGACATAGGGTTTGCGGAAATATTTCAGCGACACGTATATAAGGAGATATCTAAAAAGACTAAAATGCCCTCAAATAAAAGTTACTAATGACCTTAAGCAGCCATGTCGAAACTCTTTCTCTTCTAAAGAAGAAGAAAGAATATGATGAGTTTATTTGGTTAAACGCGTTATGGGTCGATGGATCGAAACTTTTTTATTTTTAAAACGGTCATCCCTAATTTCTGATGACTTTTCGTTTAATGAAGGCTATTTTTATAAAGTTGGGTAACAGTGAGGGTGGATGTGGCCTTCTAGTATAACGGAACACTATACAAAGGTAGAAGGGTATATTTGGACCTTTTCCCTAGATTATACTACAATATATTATTTCTGCTATCGGTTTATCTGTTGTATACATTAATTGTATTTTACACTATATCATGAATTGATAATTTTTATAGTAAGTCTAATTTAGTAAATTAAAATAGTTATTGTTAACCTGATATGGCAAATTAAATACACTGATAAAGAAAAATTGTTTATAATGTTACTATTTATAAAATAAATTTTATTATAGCGAAATAACATATGAACTCAAGGTTCATATTATAAAAAGTACTCGAATGTCATTAGGCTATAAGAGCCCGTTTGGGTTAGTAGAATAACATTCCCTTCATTTTAGTTTATACTAGCTTTAGATTATATGCATTCTACGTGTATTTCGTTCCAATCAATTAAAATATGTGTAGAATGTTTTATATTTAGATTACATGTGTTGTACGTATATTTCGTTCCAATCAATTAAAATATGTGTAGAACGATTTATATAAAACAACAAGATACGTTAAAGAAAATGTACCATCTATTTATTATATTAAATAAAAAAAATAATTGAATATCTTTTGAACTTGAACAATTTACTATTAACGTGTGCATTTGTATCACGACCCGAAATTCACCTAGTCGTGATGACACCTAACCCAACCCGCTAGGTAAGCCAAATATCAGTCAACACAATTCTAATGAAATTTATAAAAATCAATAAATGAAATAACTGAATTTTTATATAATAACCCAATGAGTGATAGTACAAGTCATGAACTACTGCGGCTTAGATTTACAAACCGATATGAAAAATAAAAACAATGTCTATTTGAAGTTTACATTAGCATAGCTAAAATCCTAAACTACCCGGATCAAAAGGTAGCTTGAATATGATATTTAGCTTCAATACAATGTACAAGTCAATATCTTGCTTCAATATTGCAATAAGGTTTGAACATAATATTTGGCATAAATATAAATACAAATATAAATATGAATACAAATATAGAAATTCAAGTATCACAAGAATGTCGGATAGAGATATGTGTTCATGATAAGCATGACCACGACCAAATCAAGTACATAACCATCCTCAAGAATAGTCCACCGTCATCAATTAAGATATTATAAGTTAAACCATGATCTCTGGCATGGATAATTGTGCTCATGTTGCCATAGAAATCAAATAAGGTATAAGTCAAGAAGAATACGCAACTCAACAAAGCATTAAGTAATCCTAGAATCTATCCCCGTGCATAAATACCCATAGCACATGAATATACACTCGTCACCTCACATATACATCACCCTCGCATGTAGTAAAAAATATTATTTTCTAGGTAAAATTCACTCAAATCAAAGTTAGGCAAGACACTTACTTCATCCGAACTAGTCTAAAGCTCCAAAACTATTTTCCTTTTATAATATACCTTCAAATGACTCGAATCTAACCAAATATTAACCAAGGAAGTTAAACAATGCTATAGGAAGAGATCCCAATCAATAAAGCTTTAATCTTTTTGAAAACCCCAAAAGTCGACTAAAGTTAGCTCGGGCCCACATGGTCGAAATTCGAAATCAAAACCAAATTTTGATGGCCCATTTTTTTTTCAAACCCAAATATGTAAATTGTTTCAAGATCCAATCTCAATTTGAGGTCTAAATCTCCAAAATTAGCTCTATTAAGTTTAAACCCCAAAACTCAACTTTTCTGCCATTTAAAATTCTAGATTTAAGGGTAAAATCTATGGAAAATCATGAAAATTAACCAAAATTAAGTTAAACCACTAACCTCTGAAATTGGGGTAATAATTGTCACGCCCTTAGTTGTTAACTAAGTACATGTGCGGTACTTGACAACTTGCTCACGATCTTGCACAGCTTGCTCACGTTCTTGTTATGCCAAGTCAGCCTTACTACACTCAAGATCGCTAAGAGAATGGTAGAAAGAACACAAGAGAATTGTTAAAGAAGCTTTGTATTAGAGAGAACATGAATTGTTTGCTTGGTGAATTACAAATGAATGGTCCCCTTTATATACTAGTCTCCTAAGGGCTAGTGTGTATATAATAGTTATTACACAAGTCCTTAATATTTACAAGATAAGGGCTTTCTCTATAATTCTCTACAAGCCTAGAAGATTCCAAGGACTTTCCTAGCAAATCCATAAGGATCTAGGTTCTTCCTAAGGAAATGTTCATACTTCTCTAGAATCTTCTCACAAATGCTAGCCTTCTTCTTATGTAAGCTTCCACATGGCTAGGAATGGCAAGCTGTGTTATTCACCCGCCCCGCATAGGATTAAAACCTGTATTCACCCTCCCCGCACTCCACCCGCGTTCACCCGCCCCGCCCCGCACCCACATTTTTTTTATTTATAAAAATGGTACAATAATCATTCGGACGATTCTAACAATTAGCATCCCATTCTCGTGGGGTTTCAAGTTTCAATTTTAGATCGTAAATGCGAAAGATCTTTGTTTCAAATTTGAAGAAATAAGAAAATTCATCCCACTTTAACAAGCACGTTGCGAAAACTTTTTTGGTCAAATATTATAAGATTTTTTCAATAGTAAGACAATAACAACAGATAACTACTCACGCTAGCACAATAAAAATATCAATATACAACTTATTATTATTAAGTTCCTGCATTTTTCTCTGGTTACTGTGAAGAAGCTTGTAATCTAGCAATTAGTTGCATAAGCTCAGTGACTGGCGCAGCACATATATTCATTTAATATAGTAGTATTATTATTATTAAAATAAATAAGTAGGAGCAGCACATATATTCATTTAATACTTGTATGAACATTAATATACTGAGTTAAGTATCAAAAATATAATTTGAAAGAAAAAATTATCAATAAAAAGAAGTGAAACCAGGAAAAAGCAAAGCATCAACTAGGCTGAACATTAAGCAACATTAAATCCCCACCCGCCCCGCAACAGCAAAATCTCAAACTCGCCCCGCAACCGCCCTGTTAACGTTCAAAGCCGTACCGCCCCGCACCTGTACTGCCCCATTGCCATCCCTACACATAGCATTAATATATGCCAAATGACGCATATGTGGCATGATGACATGGAGGGTCATCACACTCTCCCCCACCTAATATTGCGACGACCGCAGCGCAATGCCGCTCCCTAATCTCTCGGATATTATCTTTGAATTTCCATAAGTCTTCATATAGTTCCCATGTGGCCTCTTCCGGTGATTGCCCCTTCCAATGGACGAGGAACATTGAGATGGCTTTTTGCCCTTGTTTTCGCCTGGCCTGGTAATCCATAATAGCCTCAATCTCCCGATCATGCGAGGCAGTGATAGTCATAGGTGCTCGACTTGATTGGCCCCTACTCGGATCATCCTTATCTTCATCGTATGGCTTAATCATACTTTCGTGGAAGACAGGGTAGATTTTAAGATACGGTGGCATGTCAAGCTTGTATGAGATCTTGCCTACCTTGGCGACGATCTTAAA